CGTCGGCAGTAATCCAATCCCCCCCGCCCCGGTCCACAGTTTTCACTCCCCCCTGACCCCCCCCTGTCAACAAAACTTTTCTAAGGTTTCTTTCTTGAAAAACTAAGACCGGCCCCCGACCAGAAAAGGGAACAGACATGTGGCCCTCGCAGGGAAAAGTTTGGGGACCCCTGACCTACAGCAATGTAAATTTTCAGAAGATTGGCAAAACACTTATGTAGATTCTAGACCTCAACAGAGGCCCTCACTCTCTTTTTTTTATCTCATGGTTATCAACTGTATTTTGACAATTTGCAAGGATGTGCTAAAAAGAACATCCTGCAGAACGTAGAGGGATGGTGAAAAAGAGAGTACACAGTGAGGAATAAAATAAGTGTGCTGGAAGAGTAAAAAGTCTCTTTGAAGATGAGTCTGAATCAAAGTTTCATTGGCTTCTACTGCAGTGGATTATTCATTTGGCCACAGGGACAGAGGCTTAGGAGGCAATGATCAAACACTGTTCAGACGGTACGGTGCTTTCACTGCAAGCTTACATATGAATCAAACAACCCTTTGCCTTTTAGTTTTTAAGGAGCAAGTCACTGCAGTCAGAGGCTAACTGTTCTGTCAGCATCTGTACACATAAATGATCATTCAGTAAATCACTGACAGGGACATATGTTACACCGTTTGTGGCTTAACCTTATTATACGCTGGGTTGGTGTCAGCTGATCCCACCCATGTGTGTGACTGTGTGTTCTGTCATATGGAAGATGCTAGATAGTTATGTGTTAAACCTCTTACAGTATTAAAGGAATGATACGCACACACACACACGCATACGCGTATTTGTTGTTTGTGATACCATTAGGACAGGGGTGGCCAAGTCCAGTCCTCGAGAGCCACCATCCTGCAAGTTTTAGAAGTATCCTTACTCCAACAGATCGGTATCAGCTCTACAGAGGCCTGATAACGAGCCAGTCATTTGATTCAGGTGTGTTGAAGCAGGGATGCATCTGAAACTTGCAGGATGGTGGCTCTCGAGGACTGGACTTGGCCACCCCTGCATTAGGACTTTTAGTATGCTTATGGGGACACACTTTTTCTTACATCTGGTAACCACAAAAAATATGTCAAAAATTTTATTTTACGCATGCTTTCACATAAACACACATGCACAAACACACGTCATTGCTATTTCTGCTTCTGTGGCGTACACAAACAACACAGTGCAGATGCTTCTGTTATTATGCATCTCTCTGTCTGTGAGTTTATGATGCCTCTTTGGGATCCTGTCTGGTATGAATGTGAGAATAGCCACGATTCCAGACCTAAATCAAACTGAGAACTTGTGGCCTAAAAAGACCTAAAAAGTTGATCTTCCAAAAACTCTTCACCTTGTTTGACTGTTTGCAATAAAGTAAAAACAAAAATCTTGCAAATTTTGTTGATGGTTCCACAAGATATTGTCTGATTACTGAATGCATGCTGCCGCACTTGAAAATTTTAATTTGTAAAAAATTTATACATAATCTTTTTCCAGTTGTGTGATATCAAAATTCCAATCAGATCATTATATTTTCAGCTGTAAAAGATCAAATGTATTTTAAAAAGTTGTATTTGTTTATGACAGTGTAAAGAAAGTCAATTCCTAGTGTGGGTTGAAGGTAAAGTTGCAGTCTTTGAAGTAGATAACTGATCATACTTAGAAAGTGTATACAAGCTCTTTTGTGGCCACTTGTTTATCTTGGATTTTATTAAAACAAGTTTCATCAGTAGTAGTCACATGCCACTGAGTAGAGAACCCTGATAAGTAATTATCAGGTCTAAAACCATGAAAAAAAATTGCCTGTAAAATTTGAAAGCAAGGGTCAGATGACCAGACAGTAGTGTTTTAGCAGGATTTAGCTGCTAATCTATTCCACCTTTAAGACATAAAAAAGTATTTCTGTGCAGAACTTCTCAAAACAGCAAAGTTGAAACATTCTCTGGTCTTTCAGTCTCCCTCCAAGACATCAACATGAGAAAAGCATTTAAGAGCAGTACCATTCAAGACCAGCAGGTGGTGTCCAGGACCTCTGTGCCCAACCCCGTGGTGGAAATGTACCACCGCTGCGACAAGCCCCCGCCGCTGAATATCCTCAGCCCCTATAGGTGGGTTACATATGGAGTCGGCCTAATTCCAGCAAATGATGTTTGCTCTCTTTTCTTTCTTATTTGTTGCTCACTTTTTCACCCCTGCTCCTCTATTTACCTCTACAAGGGATGACAAGAAGGATGCGCTGAAGTTCTACACTGATCCCTCCTACTTCTTCAACCTGTGGAAGGAGAAAATGCTGCAGGCCACCGAGGACAAACGCAAAGAAAAGAGGCGGCAGAAGGTAAGCATCCGTTTCCATAGGGAGTGCATCTGCATGTGAAACTGTATTTTTGTTGTGAACGTACAGCTGGTGTGTCAGTGTGGAGCTGGAGGAGAGTGTGTTTTAGAAAAGTTGCAAGAAATAAAGTCATCCTCTGCTTTAATTTGCTTATCTGTTCTATTTTGCCAACTTGTGTCATGTTCTTTTGTTATTTAAGTTGATGGTTTCCTATCTTAATTTTTTTCACCATTTAGCTTTGCTCTGTTGAATGCAGCAGCAGCTGGGGGATACTTGGTGACAAGATGTAATCAGAGATTTCAAAACTTAAATAACTGCTGATAGTCACTGAAATTGAGACAAGAGCAAATTTATTATTATATCTTGATGGTTTATTATAAGCTGTTATTCCTATGTGTTATACAACAAACTTCAATTAGCTTTAAAAAATAAGTAGATGCTCAAGTTCAAATTTAATGTAGATTTGCTCACCACAGGTTAAAAATTTTACATAGAGGCTCAAATATATATGATCACTGATTATTATTCAGATTATTGTAGTTAGCAAGTTGCACCTAAATGACATGCTTTTTCTAGCCATCAACAACCATTAGACATGTACCTGCCTTTGTATGAAAGTACTTTACTTGGCAGAATTGGTAGAGTTGATTCAAATATGTTGGTTTCCAATCACACAACTCACCTTTAAGCACACTCAGTTAAAAGGCTGTTTTGTATTAAAACAGAAGAGTGCCAAATTACAATAAATAAATGACCTGCAAAATAATTATTTAAATCTGTCATTCATTGTTTTGAAAACTGGAAATAAATAATAAAAAAAACTGAATTAATCATGAGCTACTTCTAGTGAATTGGAAGAAGTTGTATGGACTTGTTGATTGAAGCCTTTTCACAGCTGATTTTTGATAGTATCTTACTTTGATTTAGTCAAACAAAAAAAGAAATCCTTCCATTCAGATCCCAGAACAGCTGCTGCTGTATGCATTTGCTGCTTTTTGTCAATATTTGTGTTGAATTTAATGCTTATGTTATATTTTTTCTGTTCCCTCCCTTCTAAATGTACTCATTTATCAAATTTTGAACCTTACATCAAACGTTCACTTAAGAAAAAACAACAGGTGTAAGAGGAGGGAAAAAGCTGCAGCAGGCTGCCTGAGATATCGCTCTACTTTATTCCCTCAGCGCCTCCTCCTTCCTTTCTCTCAGTCATCTGTAGCCAGCTGGCCTTGGAAGATGCGCAGCCCCTTCCTCTTTCCTCTTCCTCTGCTCAGTCTAATGCACCAGCTTGTCTTTCTCCCATGTTTCCATAGAGCTGTCCGGCCCACCCCGACAGGCCCCACTCCAGACAGGCCCCACCCAGGAGCCCCCTGTCCATCTCTGTAAGGCGACCCAGAGCCCTAATTCCCCCTACCACCACCACTCCCTTCCCGCCCCTCACTTCCTGCCCTCACACTCCATTAAAACACATTATACACTCACCTCTGAATAAGGAAGTCTTACATACACCTTGTAATTTAGAAACAGCACTAAAACAAAGTCCTCACTGTATGAAAAAATTAAATCTACACACACACACACGTGTGAACTCCCGTCTGTGTCCGTGTGTATACCGTCACCTTATCTCGCCACCTCACCCCTCTCTCTCTCTGACCTCCTGTGTTTGGTTTTGGTTGGTTTGTTGTGTTCCCACCCATTTTTGGCTCCGTCGTCCGCCGTGTGCTAGTCTGTGTTTCACAGTAGTGAACTGGGTAGTGAGTAGACCAGTGGATGTGTGTGTGTGTGTGTGTGTGTTTGGTTCAGTGTGATGGTAAAAAGGGGTCCAGATCACTTTCCTTCTGCAGACGAAAAGCCAGTAGCCAATGACTGAAGTCCTTTCCATTCCTGTTTGTCTGTCTGTGTATCCTCCACAGGAGCAGCAACGGCAGGTGGAAGACCCAAGCAGAGAGGTGAAGAAGGTTGGTAACCGCTTGCTCTTGATACATTTAAAGATTCAGTATCTAACATCTATAAAAAATAAAATTTTAACATATGCTACCGCTATGTCGTGATGGCATAGTATGAGACAGATAATCTGTGAAAAAATCTAGTTTCTCTGCCTTCTCCCAGTGCTAACAAGAAGCAACCACTCAGAGCCAGGAGGAGAGTCTTAGCACTGTCAATCATGCTCGTGTACATGCCGTTCATTCCCTACTCTTGCTTCCCTCTCTGCTACTCTGTAGATACTTCCCAGTATCAGAGCATGTTAAGAATACTAATGTTAGATAGCATGACAACCAGTGACGGTGAGTAGGTGTTTATTAGCATATTGAGCAGCACGTACACATGATCAATTGACAGCAATAAGACCCAGCTCCTGGCTATGATTGGTTGTTTTTGATCGAGAGTGGTACATTTTAGCAGATTGCTAAGGTAGCTCAGGGAGGAGGTGGAGAAGCTTGATTTGTTTTCACAGATTTTCTGTTTCATATCATGGTAACAGTTTTAATAAAATTAAAAAAAAAACATTTTTTTAAATAAAAGTTACATTAGTTAGTCATTTTCCTGGGAGAAGACCTTTTCCTGAGTCTTTTTTGAGATGCTGCAGTCCTGCAAAGCCCACACATTGACCCATTTCAATGATGAGGTTGTAAAGTTATTGCAAAAGCTAATTGTGTGAGACTTATTGTCATAAAATACATTAACATGTATTTAATCTCTGAGGTTTTTTTTCGTTTGTTTGTTTTTGTTTCTTTCAACAATTACTCAGTTGGTTATTAGGTTGGGGAACTTATGGTAATTCTTTGTTTAAAAAAAATAGACAGACTAAAAAAAGAGTATGCTCGGTAGTCTTTTATCTTTTACTAAAAGAAAGAAAGAAGAAAGCATATATTTTACCCGTTGTATTTTTCTTTCCTGTTGTTTCGTCCCGCAGGTGCGTAAGGCTCGTAACAGGCGTCAGGAATGGAACGTTCTGGCCTACGATAAAGAATTTCGACCCGATGCCAGGCTCACCCCCTCCCCTTACCACGGCATGTCGTCTGAAGGGTCCCTCTCCCCAGATAGCAGGTACATGCTAACCACAGCTAACCCCACACCACTTCAGTTATACCTTTCTAACACATCAGTTTGTTTTTGTTTATCCCAGACGAGGCAAGCACAAATTCATTTGACCATATTTGTTCAAATGTGTCCCTTTGGAAATGTTCGGATTGCAATTGCATTAAGACACAGCAACACATTTAAAGACGAGCAAAATGTAGAGGCTTACAGTTTCTTGAAGACATGTTAATACCCGTTGAACCTATTTTTATTTTTTTGCTATGTTACAGACAGAAATTGCAATGTATTAGACCAGAGGTTCCCAGACTGTGGGGCGCGCCCCCTACGGGGGGCGCCGTGTCATTGCAGGGGGGTGGAGGGGAAGCCGTCTGGATGAAAAAAAAAACAAAACATGAACACTGTATGCGCTGGATTTTTACCTTAGAATGGCCAACTCTTTGTTATTCCTATGTCAGTTTGATACAGTAGAGGCTTCCACACTTCCCATATTTGTGTCCTCTGTCACTTTTATCAGCAGTTAAAACAGTTTAGTCCGTTGTTAACATGTTGTAACCTGTTTTTCCGAGCCGCCTTTAAACGCAACATGAGCGCTACGACGCTGGGTTTCCACCTGTGAAGGAGACCTGCTGCTGCTGGGCGGTGCTACGTAGGTTTGTGTTAGAATCACGGCAGCAAACCAGCAAAACGCAAAGAACTTTTCACAGTTTTTCCCTCCAAACTAACCGACTGAGTTGAGTAAAGCTGGTGGATGCAGGTAATGTTAGCTAAAAGATGACTAGCTAATATCAATACAGAACCTTAAGCTTAACAAGTACCTTATCAGCTACCGATGTTGGTGTCTATTTTCAGCTACATACATTCATTTTGCCCCCGTCACACGTGTCGTTTCAACCAGACAGCCATTTGTAATCCATAGGGGGGTCCCAGAAAAAGTTTGGAAACCACTGGGGGGGGGGCTGCTTTGTGATTAGACCATCACAAAGCAGCATGTAACTCTGAAGTGGGGGGAAATGATACATTGTTGCAAGTATTCAGACCCCCTTTACTCCGATAATGCAAAGTAAAATCCTAACCTTTTTGTCAGAAGACATGTAGAGGACACAAAATGTGTGGAAGAAGGCCAAATTTAACGTTTTAGTCAATTTCCTGTCATCTTGAACACATATAACCAAGTTGAAACATTATGGTGGTGATCAGAGTTGATGGAAGCTATCAATCCTGACAATAAGGACAGATGTGGGGTGTTTTAAACATCATTAATTGGATTTTATTGTCACATCTATAAGTCAAAATTCTTATCGTGATAAGAATTTTTCAATAATTGATAAACATCCACCAATATTTTCAAGGCACTCTGAAATGCCTTCTACCTGTGTCATTTGAAGTTGTGTGCTGCCCTCTTATGGAGACTGTAAGTGAGACCCAATGTTGTATATTTTCTTTTCAAATATACTAATCAGAGCATCACAGTTTGGTAGAAGTACAAACAGCCAAACATTAAAATGTTAAAGCAAATGGAAATCAACTAAAATGGAATCCAGGCTCAGGTCGTTGATTAAAAATTGTATTTTCCATTGATCTCAATATTAGGATATTACTTTAGGCTACGCTTGAATAAAACCGAGCTCCCCTCCTCAATTTTAACCCAATAGGTCAATGGCGTCCGACTCCTACCCGGCAAGTCCCAACCACCCGACTACCCAGGCTCCAAGCGCTGCCCATCCCGCTGACCACCATGCCAGGGATCACCTTGCTGCCGCCCAGACACAGTCGCTCGATCGCGGCCTGAGGCCAGCCAACCAGCCCCCTGGAGCCGCGGGGGCAGGACCCCCGGGTCGACACGCAGCTTCCCTCGGCAGGACCCCATCGGGACACGGGGTCCAGGCCGGTGGAGATCCAACGGTCAATGGGCCAAGGCAGCAGTCCATTAAGGAATACCGAGCTGGGTACGGGTAGGCTTGCTAATTTGACTGACAAAGTGACACTGCGACGAATATTACAGTTTAAATGGTTCAGTGGCTTTGATTTAGTTCAAACATTGAGGACTTCAAGGCTTGAATCTTCTTTCATTACGTTGAAGAATCTCTGTTTTTTTTATGAGATTGCAGCATTTAGTGCCCTAGGGTCAGACTACCGGTTTCTCTTTCCAGTCCAAAGAAACTAGGTGGAAGTCTTAGAGATTGTATTGGAGTCTGTGGTCCTTACTGGGGTTGGCACTAACATTCATCCTGCTGATTGAATTTCAAGTGGACAACTCTAAAGGCTCTCCCCTATTTCATCCAGAGCATCGAAATTGGATCTCATTGACGTAGTCACGTGGCAAAAATTGCATCATTTGTTTGCAGTGAGCCGTCCTATTCCGCTTCTCAACTAACCATTTCACATAGCGTTCTGTGCGATGTGTTAGTCTGAAGTTAGTAGGCGTGTTTCCTGCAGGCGACATGAATATGTTTTTGGAGCGTTTATCAGACACATTGAGGAATTATGTGGATTTGTACGAGTTTTCACAAAATACCTGCAAACATTGTGAAATGGATAAAAAGTCTTGAATGGGAATTGCAAAGTCGTCGTCCACGTAGGAGACAATGACTCAGGGTGAAGTTTGGGAAAGCTGTGACTCTGATTGTTCACACCAAGCTTTGGTGATTAGATCTCACTTGTCAGCTCCACATACAAAGAAATGCAGTCATGTCTAAAGATGTTTCTGTAAAGATGATTGAGTAGTACTGATCCATATATATGTGTATTTCCTCTTTCTCCCTCTTCAGTGGGCAGCCCTCCACCATACCAGAGTATTACATTCCCCCGGCTCCTCCCCCACCCCCGCCAACCATCCCATCTGCCCAGACTGCCTTCGATTCAGCCACAGCGCCGCCCTCTGCGGCCGCCTCCGCCATCCCGCCGACCTCCTCTGCCCTCTCCTGCCATTACTCCCCCTCCCCTCCTCCTCACCCCGGCCACCCCATAACCTTCCCCCCCCCCCCCCCCCCCCCCGCCCCCCCCCCCCCC